AAGTACAGCGGAGGTTTATCCTCCAGCAGGGTCTCTCAAATTGAGAAGACTGAGACGGAGTTTGACCTTTCCGGTTCCCCGGCCGCCCAGCTAAGAGTACGCCATGCCAGAAGCACCAGGGTCTGGCTGATTCAGTCGCTAGGTGGCTCCCTGATCCAAATAAAGTCAGTGATTGCCTGTTGTGGAAGCTTGGCAGGGCCCCGGCAAGGCTCTGCTAATGTTTGGGAAGTAGTTCTTTATTGCCCGTAGAGCATGTAAGAAAAAGAAGCCCTCTACATTGTGTCACATCTAGGGCATCGGATGACATCAAGACCAGTTTCAGGCTACACAGGACGCCATAGATTTCGGACCAAAAGGACACTCCAACTACTTGCCATGGAGATTTTCTCATGTTCTGCAACTACAACGCCAGGACAGTCTCCGCCAACGCCGATCTTCAAGCCCGTTTTCGAAGGTACAGGGCGCATCAATTACCACGTAATCGCCTTGCAGGAAACAAAGTCCAGGAAGAGGCAGCTGAGTGATGGCACACTCATCATTCGTGGTGGAAAGGTTCCATCACGGAACGTTGGAGGCGTTGGATTTGTCGTACTTACATCTGTTGTTCATTTTGTCTCGCATGAGATCCTTCACCTTGCCTGGGTATCCTTCGACTCCTTCCTCAAAACTATCACTATCATCAGCTGCTATTCTCCAACATCAGCAGCTGATAATTCGGAGCTTGATGCTATGAGGATTTGGAGGAAGTCATCCGCAAAGAGAACTCCTTCTATAAGTTTGCCTTAGGTGACTTTGATGCGAAAATTGGGATGCCAGAGAAGGGAAGCACAGAATCGGGAGAATCAGGACTCCGGAATGAGAATAGTAACCATCTTGTTGGGCTCTTATCCGCCCCACGACATTTTCATAGCAACTCCATCTTTATGAAAAAAAAACACCAGTGGTGAACATGGAAGTCACCCAGCGGTACAACTCATGCGGAAAGCGACCACATTCTCACTAACCTAGGGTGGTGCTTACTGGACGTCTCAGTACCATCATTCAGTAATGGCTCAAATCACCGTCTCCTTCGAACAAAAGTGCGATTCAGCTAAAAGCTGGAAAAAAAGCTCTGCCACTCTGCTACCCAGCTCTACTTGGAGGAAGGAGAGAAGTTATGAGGGCGTCAGATTGAAGGAGCTCCTGACCACTTGTGACTGGCTCATGGAGGAGGACCCGACGAAAGACTACGATCTGCTTTTTAGAGGA